CCAACTATCTAATACCAACAATTCACAGTGCACCGTGATGGCGAGCCACCCAATGGCATGGTGGCTAGATTGCAAATTTAAGTGATAGAATTCAGTCTGCACCAAAGATAGGACTAGACATATTACAATAGTTACCGACTAGTGACTAATCAAAAACAAACCGGTACTGTTTATCGACATATGAATTAGACAATAATCCCATAAGGTCAATCAATCATGATATTGCTGAAACTATTACTCAGCTTGCATCACTCTTTTCCCATATTCAAGCCTTTTACACATTCAATTTAATCAATACTTGGGAAAAAGCGATGCTATTAACTCTTGATCTGTTTCTTCATTAGCGATTTTTATGGCTTTCCTTAACGCTCGGTTAATTGTGTTAAGAGCATGATTCTACTCCTAGTAACAAATGTCTTCTAGTGTCACAATAAGTAAACGTACCTACAAACGACACTAGAATATCAATTCATTGCTAGCTAATGACTACAATTCGCGTGAGGCTCCATGAAATCCGACTTTAAATTATGGCTGATGCGATCCAGAAAGTCGAATGTGAGGACAATTGCACAGGAGTAATACTGAATGGTGGTGACCTGAATGCTTTTTTATTCCTTTACCTTCCGGAGGGAACATAGGGCTTCAAGCTAGAAGTTTCAGTAGCAATAGTATTTGTTTTTGCGGGATAGGGTTACAGCACCCGACCTGCTGCACAGGTTAGAATTCATGGGCCATTGGATCGGGTCCCAGTGGCTTAATGGTATACGAGCTTACCTCATAACCAGAGGGCCCTGGGTTCGAACCCCGCTGGGTGCGTACTGCTGAAGAGTCCCAAACTAGGACGAAACAGCAACTGTCCAGTACTCCCAGGTTTTCCAACGGTTCTCTAACCAATGTCAGCTCATGATGAAATCCTGTAACCAATCAAACAAATCCCTACAAACCAATACTTGAATAAAATAATGAATGTCAACTAAATCGAGACATGGAGTACACTGAACTCATTTTGCTTTTCACACATTCACATCACTTGCGATGTCAGTCACAGATAAGTTTTCATGACTAGGAAAAGGTATGTTGAGCAAAGTCTAATCTACATCATTTCACAGTTTTAGTACATTACTGAGGAACGGGAAAAATATCACAAGTTCGATGATATTCAATCAGACTTGTCTTCCAGTTAACAGTGAAAATAAGGAATGATGGATATATTCATCTACCTGTTTTACAAAGCAGCAGAGAAGGCCTAAATTTTGCTGTAATTAATTACTGAACAAAACGAAGGTGCATCAAGTGTGGGTTTGCAGGGATTTGAACGGTTTAAGGATTTCGCCATGAATTGACATCGGTTAGAGAACCAATGGAGAGCCTGTGAGTACTGGACAGCTCTGGCATCCTAGTTTGGGACACTTCAGCAGTACATTTGGATATCAGTCTGCTCACTAGCAACTGGCCCTACTCAGGTAGGTAGCCATCTGGGTTCTATTGAGAACTAGTGACCAGTGGGTATAACAAGTTGGGTGTTGAGGAAAAGTACTGGCCGATAATATTGACTGGTGCCAGTCGCGCCATATCACATCAATTGGCGGAAGTTGGAATCCATTGGCTATTGGATCGGGTCCCAGTGGCTTAATGACATACAAGATCGCCTTGTAACCAGAAGGTTTGAGCCCAGTGAGTGTGTGCTGATGAAGAGTCCCGAAATAAGATGGAACAGCTGTCCAGTACTCCCAGGTTTTCCAACGGTCCTCTAACTGATGTCAGCTGATGAAATCCTGGAAGATGTCTCAGTTGCATACACCAATTACTATGCTCAGACTTAAACTCCATATTTAGTTATCTAACTAACTGATTAAGTGATATTTGAAGTCGGTGGTCATTGTTTCACTTCTATTAACTTGTACTTTCTGACCTACGTGGATTTAGACCTTTATTCTTATTGATCATTTTTACCTCTGGACGGATTTATTCTCTATCTTCATGTGACCTGATCAGTTACAATGAAGCTTTCATCGTAAAAAAGTTTGATGCCTCTGATCCTGATCAAGTAATTTTCTCCACGAAGGCGAGTTATGTATTCATTATTCTTATGATTACAATTTTACTAAGAATAACGTTTAGCCAGTTTGAATACTTTACAACTGGACTATAATGACTCATAAACATCAATATTCTGACGTTTAATTTATACATTTTTACACTCAGTAGTGGAAAACGAGGCGAGAAAACTAGGAGCACTGATCAATACTATTGTGGTGAGAGCTAGCTGAGAACATGCCAGAATTGTAAACAACTACTTACGTCAGTGTTATGTCCCGAATCAGGGTCATGAGAAAAACGATTCCAGTTACAGCGGTAGGTGACTTAGGGTCCGTAGATGTAATGAGTCCATTTCCTCAGACATCAATTGGTGATGACGGAACACGCAACACGTTGGGTAGATGCCGTTGCAATCCCAGACCAACGAGCCAGGACTGTGATAGATGTAGTAGTTCGACACATCGTTGCAGACCACGGTGTACCAGAGACGGCACTGACAGACCACGGTCCCTGTTTTGAAAGTGAAGAATTTACATCCTGCTTGCAACAGCTGGGCATCAAGAAGACCAGAACGACCCCATATCATCCACAAACGAACGGCTTGATGGGGAAAAACAACTTTACGATGAAGGAGTGGCTACTGTCGAAGTGTGGCAACTGGGAGACGGAGCTTCTGTTGATTCTACTGGCACATCATGCCACCGCCCAGGATACAAGGAAGAAGTCACCTGTTCAACTGATGCATGGTAGAAAACTACGATTACCGATACATAACGAGACTTGGCCCGTTCGCCAAAAGTGGAGTATGATGAAATTGAGAACATAACGGAAAGGAGTAAAGAATGTTACGCAAAAGCAGGGGAAGGATGCCACGAAGTCTGAGCAGACAGAAAAGACGTAGTTCACTACCTTTGCAGTCGGGGATCAAGTGAAGTTTGGAGACAGAATGTATGCGGGTCAAGTTCGCGAAAACTCCTTCCAAAGTGGGAGGGACTATACACAGCTGCCAAAAGTAGGGGCCAAGTATATACCATCAGAAGAGGCGACAAACAGAAACGATTTAATGCCAGTCAGATCCAACGATGGATACAGTGGAACAAGCCGGTCCATAACAATCACTAACGAGAGGGTTGGAGCGTCTTCAAGCGAAGCTATTTGACGGGGGTGTGCGAGTGAGATGAGAGCTGGCTGCGAACATGACAAAATTACAGACAGAAATTTACGTCAGTGCTATGTCTCGAATCATGGGCATGAGAAAAACAATTACAAAGCTTAACTTTGAGGAAGTCACCACCTAATCACAGCGAACTTAACATATGCAAATAAGATTCGCAGATATATGGCTTACTTTTCTGGGGAACGGTCACGAAGTAGTACAGAATAACTTTCAGAAAGAAAGCAACCAATCAGAAGAGGTTTCTCTTCCCTGACTTAAATGTACATGCAAATCTATAAATATCACTTGATTTGCTCAATAAACAATCTGTTGCGTAGCTTTTGTCTTCTGTCGTTGCACTATTAGGTGTAATCTTTGGACCGGGTATTGATCGAATTCCATAGATAATTGCGTTGTATCGACCAATACAACAAGCGTTGAATAATTAATACTACCAAATTTCAGTACTGTCAAGTTATTAGACGGGAATAACCTGATCGGGTAAGTTTTGATTTATTTATTTTGGAAGATTTTGAAATGAATCAGATATTATTGATTATATATTTGTGGTCCAAATTTCCGTTGATATGTAAAGGATATATATATATGAATAAAGGTTGTTGTTGTCGTGGTTTTTACAGTTATATCTGACTTCTGTGTCTATCTCAGTGTGTGGGAATATTTTTCAAGTAAACAGTTGGTTCGATTAGTGTGTCTGGAGGTGCACACTCTAGTAAAAATAGACAACAACCAACAAATCTGTGACATTCTGTTATAACATATGCCTAACGTGAACTATTTCCATATTACTTTGAGCTGGTAGTTAGCAACAAAGGAAACAAATATTCATCTCTCATTAAATAATACAATTACTCCTGTCATACATGAGCTTCACCTATGAAATAAATACTATAATATCATCCTTCAACCCAACCAAAACTTTAATGATGTCCACCAACAACAGACAACAATCAGCATAAATGGGAGAAATCTGAACGAAGCAACCTCATTTACCACCTACCTGGGAAGCATCGTTTCAACTACAGGCAGACGGAACTGATGAAGATATCAAAGCGAGGAACGCGAAAGCAAGCTAAGCTTCTATTTCTCTCAGGTCTCTGTGGAAATCAACAGCACACTCAGTATGAAAAATAAGATCCGGATTTCCAACTTCATTGTGAAGTCAGTGCTACTTACTATACGGATCAGAGACTTGGTGCCGCGTCACGAAGGGCACTTCCAACAAACTACAGACCTTCACCAACAGCTGTCTTCGCTCAGGACCACTCAAGATTAGATGGCTGGCCAGAAAAGATCAGCAACAGGGATCTCTGGCTATGAACTAACCAACCTAGCAAGAACCAACTGTGCAACAAATACGCAGGAAGAAATGGAGGTAGGTTGGCCAAACTCTGAGAAAACAAACCATCAAGTGACATCACACACCAAGCCATCGCTCGAGTGGAAGCCGAATGCCAAGTGGCGAGCTGATCGTCAGTGCGAGGGTGGGGTGACATGGAGGAAGAAGTGATGTGAAGAGGAGATGAAAGCATGTGAGCAGATGTGTAGCCCAGGTGAAAACGCTGGCTGAGAACCTCACGCAATGGAGACACGCGGCTGAAGCCCTATGTTCCTCTAGCAACTAAAGGAAACAATAATAACAAATAATAAAACAGATGGACATTCTTACAGAGAAAATAACCACAAAAGGATGATACATAATAAAAATAAGAAATCAGTGACGAATTTGTTGACTGTAAACACCCGAAACATTTATTATTCAATAAAGTTAACTGTATCTGGATTAAATAAGATTCATCGATTTGATTTCTGGAACATAACGATACACATAGAAACATGCTAATAGACAAAATGATGAAAATATACAGAAAAGAGATGATACATTTATCCATGAAACAAATGGTTCAAATAAAAATGTCACGAAAAAGCCAACTATCCAATTAACAGCTAAAGATAAGACAATAGCATAATTTCTATTGACACTTGGAAATAGTTCTATGATGTATAAGAATGGTAATGGACCCCAACTTAAAGAAAAGGTGACTGAACAAATGGCTAAGTAGGCTTCATTGAGTATAGATGTAGGCATGTCAGGTTGCTAAAAAGAATAGAAGAAAAAAAGTAGTAAGTTACATACTACTGACCATTATGTGCATCGACTTCTAGTTTAAGGATGGGTAGTGAAGATATTGAGAGGGTTGACGACTTACCATATTTGATAATTCGCATCAAGCCTTATGGACTGATTGATGAGGAAATAAAGGGTTGTATGACATTTTCTAACTTATGTCATCATCTTTGGTGTAGACGAGATATCCGGCTGTTGATCAAAGGACGTGTGTACTGTGCGGCAGTCCACTCTACACTACTCTTCTTTTTGGCTGTAAGGCGTGGCCATTAGAAGAGGAAGACTTAAAAAGGCCAAACGTCTTTGACAGCAGGTGTCTGCATTTTATCTCTCGTGTTAAGTGGTATGATGTGGTGAATAATAATACTGAGGTTGAGCGTAGTGTTAGGTAAGGAGGGAAAGTCAATCTATGTTGTTGTGCAGCTACATCTATTGAGATTTCCAGGGCACGTGCTGCACATTTCAAGTCATCGTCTTTATCGCCGATCAATATCAGACAATATACGACTAGACTGGATAGGAATTGGAGTTGATCAAATTAAAGCAAGCCATTTATACAGACAACAATCAGCATAAATGGGAGGAACCTGAAAGAAACAACCTCCTTTACCTACCTACTTAACTGGGAAGCATCGTTTCAACTACAGGCGGAAATGACGAGGATATCAAAGCAGCAAGGATCGGGAAAGCAAGACAAGCTTTTATTACTCCTAAGCCTGTCTGGAGGTCAACAGCACTCAGCATCAAAAATAAGATCCGGATTTTAAACTCCAATGTGAAATCAGTGCTACTATACGGATCACAGACTTGCACTGCGCGTCATAAAGAGCATCTCAAACAAAACTACAGACCTTCATTAACAGCTGTCTTCGCTCAATACTCAAGATCAGATGGCTAGCCAGAAAAGATCAGCAACAGGGATCTCTGGCAATCAGCGAACCAACCCACCAGGAACCGATTGTGAAACAAATAGGCAGGAAGAAATGGAGATGGATTGGCCATATGCTGAGGAAACCATCAAGTGACATCACTGGAGAAGCCCTCGAGTGGAACTTGAAAGGGAAGCGGCAAGTCGGTCGTCCAAGGATGACTTGAAGGAGGTCATGTGAAGAGGAGACGAGAACACTTTATTTTTTTGTTTATTTTGATTACAGCTTGATTCCACACTGTATTTTTGGTACAAGTATGGAATTTTCAGCATGTGATATCGGCAGCCCAAATTTAGCAGGCCGACCATAGATATCGGGTGTGCGTCGGCGGGGGATCGAACCCCGGATCATGTGCATGGTCGGCGAGAGTCCTAACCACTATGCCACCGACGCATATGGGCAGACTTGGAGCCAGGTGAAAACGTTGGCAGAGAACCGAACGCAATGGAGATGGGCAGCTGAAGCCTTATGCTCCTCTAGGAATTAAAGGAAATAATAATCACTTCATGCAGTCTTTAACTGTTTGATATGTGGCAACTTGAACTGCCGCACATCGGTGCAAAGTTCTATGTCGAAAACAGAACAGGAACTGTTTGATATAAGCCACTCAGGGAGATGTAGACTGTTTGATTAGGTTGCTCCGGATATTAAGAAACAAAAGCTGGAGATTTAACAGAGAACCACACAAATGCTATATATATAATAAATTGAAGATTCGAAATTGTTTCTGGTAACGATGAACCTATAGCAAATCTATTGTTACACATCTTTCCGTTTCATTAAAAATAGGTAGTGAGACATGTAGTGAACAGATGTCAAACGTTAAGCAGGATACTTTGAATTCTGAAAAGGAAAATTAATTTTATTTTTATTTGAGAGCACTATGAGAATGAGGAATATGATCTCTTCACTTCTCAATCCTGAGTCATTTATTTTGTATGAAAACACGGTTGTCACATTGTGAGTGAGTTTGACGCTCACTAAGTAATGTTCCGCATACGCCATGTTGCCAGGTGAATAACAGTTTTCAAACAGTGGCAGTTTTGGTACGTGAAGTTGGAGTATTTCCTGTTATTTTTGTTTATCAGTTGCGACTAGATTGCAGAACCTTCTCCAAATCTGAAACATTTATTTCCTGATAAGAATTTCATAAAAGCAGTAAAATTGGCAGAAGCTGGAATTCATGAGCTGGCCATCGGATCGGGTCTCAGTGGCTTAATGGTCTACGAGTTCGCTAGTCTGATAACCAAGAGGTCCTGGGTTCGAACACCAATGGATGCATATTGATGAAGAGTCTCTAACTAGTGTGACGAAACATCTGGCTGTCCAGTACTCCCTGCAGGTTTTCGGTCGGGAAATAATATTTATAATGATATTATAATAATAATACCAAAGGAATATATATATATAATATTTATAAACTTTCATCAGTACAGTAATATTATCTATTAATCTGTAATTTGCTTCAGTATCCTAGAAGGAAAATATTTTCAAGTGTTGGGTTGAAGGGATTCGATTAATTTTAAGTTTGATAATGAAGTGACTTCACTGAAAACCAGAGGGTACTGCACAGCTGTTTTGTCCTAGTTTGGAACTTGCCAGTAGTACGCACCTACAACCCCACCACAGATCGAACTCAGGACCTTCAGGTTACAACGCTAGCTTGTCCCAGTGACTAGGGTGTCAACGAGCTGCTCGCCTCGTAGTCTGAAAATCCTGGGTTCAATCCTTGGTAAACTTGTGGGTCTCAAGCGAGGAAGAAAGAATCATTCAGTATAAAGTGATTCTTGAAAGCTTTCTAACTGAAGCCATTTTGTGGTCAAACTTGAAATAAATCCAATCCCAGCAAGATCGACACTTGAAAAATAATCTACTGTACACCAGTGACTGACTGACTACAGGATGCAGTTGCCTGAAGTTCTAGAGGGAAGAGGTAAACAGTGGAGTCCACCAAGTTGGGTGTGAGGAGAAATACGCGCCGATGATAGTGGCTGGAGATCGAGCTGTAAAGCATGAAAATATTTATCAAGAATCCTGGTTAGATCTATTATTGTTCAATTATAATCATTAAAATAGGTGGCATCGCGCGTCAAGCAATCGATCGAGTGGAACCCGAAAGGGAAGCGGCGAGTGGGACGTCAGTGGAAGGGTGACATGGAGGAAATCGTGTGAAGAGGAGTTGAAACAGTATGGACTAACATGGATGCAGGTGGAAAGTACAGGAGAAGACAGAAGCAAATGGAGACGTGCAGTTGAAGCCCTATGTTGCACTAGGAACCCAAGGGAACAATAATAATAATAAAAAGGTCAGCAACACTGTAAGATCTACTTACCAGCAATATCAAAGAATAAAATAAGTGTAAAACAGCCATTATTATAGCACCTATTTGTAATGCTTTTCTCCACGAGATTATTCTTATTAGGAATGTTGATACAATACTTGAGAAAAAGAAAAATAAACCCGTAGAAAATGCACATCGATAAGAGACTGATCCACCGAACAGGCAAACAGATTCTGCGAAATAAATGATAGCACTCATTCCTGTTAACTGTTGAAATGTCATTAGTAGAAAACCCATATATAATCTTGATTTTTGATTGTTTAAGACATATGAGGTTGGAGAAATCCATGATTTTTTACAGCCATCTGATAAACTCTGAGAATCATTGCCATTACTTAATTGATCATTTTCTTCTTGTTTGAAAGGTAACTCCTGAATTCAAAAATAATTATACACGTGTACTGTTTTTGAAAGGCTGATACAAATACTATATATTCAACTGAAGTTATACATATACATATGCACATAAATACAAAGACTATCTCAAATCACCTGACTGTCGATTTGTGCAAAGTTGTCCTACGAAGGGATGACAATCAGTCGTGTGCAATCTTGAGGCTAAATATCACTATTCTTATTTGATTTTACTATGTGTAGTGTGACTTTGTCTTAAGCACTCGATTTCTAGCCAGTAGGTTCAAAACTCACTCTGACTAATTCACCCTGGACAACTGGGTAGCATGATTAGTCATGACACGATAAGTGTGGCTTATATCCCGGTAACGGGTAGCTGAATTTGAACTAATTAGAATACTAAGTGATAAAGAGTGAAGATGTGAACAATACACTCTCATCTGGACCTAAAGCCTGGTTAATTTTCACAGATTTGTTTAACCTGAGTACTATCTAGTATGCGTATAATTATTGAACCTAGAATTTAAGATACTAAATAAGTAAAGCTAGTCGTCCTAAGATCATCACAGGAGGACTTGTATCCCATTTTATAAAGCGAGATAACACATGACTTACACAAGTCCCACATGACCATCTCGAAAAAACAGCTGCTGGCATACAAACTGTATTCGCCAATTTCCTAAATTATTCCTAACTCTTTCAACTAGTAATATTATTTTAGCTTATTGCAGGTAGTTTGTTTACGATCCATCGCTTCTTTTAAAATAACACTTCTATGAGAATAGTTAAAAAGAAAATCAAAGCTAAACACCAGATAATCACTTACATTTCCGTACAACCAAGAATGAGATGCTTCAGCTGATTCTAGGTTACCCGTTTTAATACACCATTTAGGAGATTCTGGTAGCATGAACGTTAAAACGGTAGTACACAATACAAGTAAGCCACAAATCAAAGAAATAACATCCCAATTAAGATAAATTGCAAATGCATATACAACAACAATTCCGCATGTTATACCAATCTGAAACAATGATCCAACTACGACTTTCAATGAAGTTGGAGCTATTTCGTAAATATAGATCAAATTGGTTGCTGAGGTTAATCCGCATCCAAAACCTGTTAACAAACGTCCTAAAAAGAAGGAGACAGTTGGTGCATATCGTTCATAGACAGCTGATGACGAAAAAAATAACAGAATCCATCCTTTAAATGATAGCATATGAGACCAAATCAGTGTCCGACGATGTCCGTAGCGAGTAATTAGCTGCAAAGAGCAAATACAACCAATCAGCCCACCAATGTTTAAACAACTGCCAAAAATTGCCGACCATATTGTGCTAAAATAAATCTGAAGAGTTGTTGCAGACGAAAATCCAAAAGTTAGACCTAAATAATCAAAATTATAGTATTGTTTAGTGGCGGTTTAATATGTGAGATAATTTAAAAGGTGAAATTCAAATTAAACTTAGTTTATCATAGATGATATATGAGTGTAGAATTAGCATCTCAGTGGATAGGGAAATTCAGTAATACACCACTAGATAGGTACGTCAATAATAATTAGTGAATACTCTAACACAGCTTTCAGAAAGATTAGGGTAACTAGGAGTTTCATGCATTTATTCCTCTTGATGAATTCGAATAATTCAGGCTTTTCTATCCAAATCGCTAAGGCTTCGGCAATACAAAGTATACGGAAGCTTGTCGATTTTGGAAGGCTTCTTTTGACTTTATAGATGACTTTGAATGACTTCTCCTTGCAAATCGAATGACCAGTGTTAAGTATATGCTCAATAATGGCACTCCTTATTGCTCCATTGTTACCTTTCCGTAGCCAGGCGGGATAGTGTTCTTGAACTCTTTTAGATAAAACTCGCATCGAACGACCTATATACCTCGCTCCGCAAGAGCAGATGAATTGGTAGATACACATGGAAGTGGTCAAATGCGATAGTTTATCTTTAGAGTAGTTGAAGAACAATGGCCGGGAGGAAAATGTCAGTCGTAGTGTGGCAGCGAAGAATGTCCTTCTTAGAGCAGTAGATATCCTCTTCTTCAAGGTGTCAGCCAGAAGGTCACCTTTGAAGGGTACATTCATGTAGACCATCTTCTTCTGCACTGTAGTGGGTTGTTCTTTGTAAGTCTTAGGCTTAATATGCTTGTCTATAAAACGGGGTGGGTAGCCATTCTCGAGCAGTGTCTTCCTTAAGAGGGCGATCTCTTCCTCTATTGATTCAGGACTGCAGATTTTTCGGATTCTAGTCGCCAGAGATATTATCAAGTTTCGCTTGCGACTAATTGGTACCCAACTGTAGAAGTTTGTCAACAGTTGGGTACCAATTAGTCGCAAGCGAAACTTGATAATATCTCTGGCGACTAGAATCCGAAAAATCTGCAGTCCTGAATCAATAGAGGAAGAGATCGCCCTCTTAAGGAAGACACTGCTCGAGAATGGCTACCCACCCCGTTTTATAGACAAGCATATTAAGCCTAAGACTTACAAAGAACAACCCACTACAGTGCAGAAGAAGATGGTCTACATGAATGTACCCTTCAAAGGTGACCTTCTGGCTGACACCTTGAAGAAGAGGATATCTACTGCTCTAAGAAGGACATTCTTCGCTGCCACACTACGACTGACATTTTCCTCCCGGCCATTGTTCTTCAACTACTCTAAAGATAAACTATCGCATTTGACCACTTCCATGTGTATCTACCAATTCACCTGCTCTTGCGGAGCGAGGTATATAGGTCGTTCGATGCGAGTTTTATCTAAAAGAGTTCAAGAACACTATCCCGCCTGGCTACGGAAAGGTAACAATGGAGCAATAAGGAGTGCCATTATTGAGCATATACTTAACACTGGTCATTCGATTTGCAAGGAGAAGTCATTCAAAGTCATCTATAAAGAATTCGAATAAGGCGAGAACAACAGTGATTTGTGCAGAATAATATGGTACCATCATTTATTTCGTTGGCTTCTCATCAGCTGCTTACAGCCTAAATAAATTTTGAGGTTTAAGTACAGAAACGTTTTAACATACATGCAAATTTTACATGTTGTCAGTTGACAGGAAGTTCCACAATTAGTAAACAGCGCTCAGAAGACTGCGCTTATATAGTTTTTACACAGGCAGTTCAAGTTAAAACAGAATAAATGTATGCATATAATGGTAAGGGAGTTACATAATAAAGATGAGATGTGCGTTAGATGCATAGTGACTAATAAGTTAGGTAACAATGTACTGAGGAGTGGATGCAATTCCTCAAAATTCAGGACTACAGTAAATGACTTTAGTACTTAACCATGTTTGCATTGGGTGACCAACTGTCTGTCTGTCTGTTTTCGACATAGAACTTTGCACATATGTGCGGCAGTTCAAGTCGCCATACTCCATGTAGCACACAAAGCAAGAGAAGGAAGTACAAGAAAAGCATAATAGAGACAGTAAGCAGAGGTGTGAGAAAAAGGAAGAGTAATAACGAAGAATCATAAGTCACAAGGATGCATCTGCAGCAGCCATTGAGAACGATTTTAAGCCATGTCACCAACTGTTTCCAGCCTTCATTGGTTTTTACCCTCCCGAGGCCCCAAACCAGGAAGTCTATACCTTCCTACGTGGCTTAGACTAACTGTTGTAGATTTCATTGACTGGTGCCAGGTTTTTGTTTGACCTCCGCTGGCTTTTTTCCAGCCTGACCCTATATACGCTAGCATTGCTCATCTAGGAGGGCGATGACTAGGCATATGTAACACATGTCTTAACCATCTCAGTCTATGTAACTTCACAGCCTCGTCGATTGATTTCCCCTCCTTACCTAGGACTCGACGCCTAACCTCAATATTGCTCACCTTATTATGCCACTTCACACGGGAAATAGAGCGGAGGCACCTATGATCAAAGACTGCTAGTCTTTTCATGTCTTCCACTCTCAGTGGCCATGTCTCACAGCCATAAAGGAGGAAGGAGCGGACTGATGAGCAGTACACCCGCCCTTTGGTCGATAGTGGGATATCACGTCTATGCTAGAGACGGCGTAAACTGGTGTATGCGAAACGAGTCCCCTGTATCCGTGCTGAGATTTCGTCAGAGACCAACCCATTGGGGCGAATGGTACTTCCCATATAAGTCAAGCGGTCAACGTGCTCAATAATTTCACTCCCTATTTCTAATCTAGGAGTCGGCGTAGTCCAGTCCTGTAACATCATCTGGCATTTGGAGAAATTTTCGTCGAAATTCATCTTTCATCACAAGGTGAAGTCTGTGAGCTTATTATCATCTGGAAAGGAAAGTCTAAATATCTAATTTTTCATGTAGTACTGACACAGGCTTTACAGATATCGAACAAAGCCATTAACGAAACTACCTATGACCATTTTATGCTTTCAGCATAAAATGTGAAAATAATGAAATATAATTTGTTCATCACAACATAAAATTCACTTTAACAAACTTACATGATTTACAACACTCTAGAAATAAAAATATACTAGCAAAAATAGTCTAGTAATATGAACCTAATTAAGAGTTATTTGATAACTTTTGTAACATAAGAAGGATCAAGAAGAATTAGTTGTTGAATGAACACTGTTGGTAGAAGTATTTTCGTACAGAGAAGAATTTCTGAATATGTAAACAGATTGTGTGGAGTCTATGATAAGAAAATTTACAAAGAACTTTGTTCTTATTCATCTTATAGTTAGAAGAGAATCCTTTTGATGAGGTCTGACGAAAACAGAAACTTACTGAATTCAGTTACTAAAAAATTGCTTGTGATGAAAGGAAGATGAAAAAAACTTGTAGAAGAACACTTGAGCATTTCTCTCTCGTAATTACGCTTGGTTATGGGGAAGGGACCAAAGAGCACAACAAATCTCTGGCTTCTCACAATGCAGGCCTAATACTACATGCACTTTAGGATAATTATCACAAATTAACATATGTTAGGCTTTTGAACTATGTAACTGATTTGTGATAGTTTGACAGTTCCCTATGGGGCACGTTTATAACTGGTCGAATAAAACTAAATGACTTCGGAAAATGATTTTTGTTATTCTTTATTTGTGTTTCATAGAAGTAAGGTAAAACTAATTGAAAATAATCAAAAACAAATGAACTAGATTTTTCTTACCACAAGTAAATGCACTTAAAGTGCATAAAAACAATACAAAATTGAATTGACTAAGAGCCATTGAGATACAGTGTTCATCAACAGAACTCTAAAGTGAACGGAAAAGCTGTGCTCATAATTTGCTTATTCAACAGGTAAAACTGAAACAGAAAAGAATGAGGTTAAGTCACGTATGCAGAAATATACTTTGAATTACAGCAGAAGTGAGACCCACAACTTTTCATACAGCAGCTTCAATGAAATAAGCTGCAATTCAAGCACTAAGACTCCTTATTAGTCAGTCTCCTCCGTATGTGTTGGTTCTGCATAGCTTTATCACATTCTCCTTATGTGTGCTTCCAGCATACAGACTTATAGTGATGAAATTTTTGTGCAAAGCCCTACATTGATAAGTCTGTCAGTGATGGTGCTGCCTTTAAATTATTTAGAAATATGCACAGTATATCAGGTACACGTACGTAAACAACAAGCATGGTTAGTTCAGCACACATGCATAGTGCTGAGGTAGTTTAAGAAGAATACGTCAGTACCTTTGCTTCTTTTGGTTAATATTCCGCCTAGTTGTATGACAGAGTGCTCAAGTAATATTAGTATCAATACAAGTTCAATAATGTGATGCACGTTTTCCACACCCAAACAAGTATGAAGACATTGACACAGTTCTGAGGTTGGTATACCACGTAATATGATAATGCCTAGCTTGTTGAAAAAGCCTGTTTTAGCAGGTTGTTTTTATAAGTTTTAGCTACTTACTCCTGAATAAGACGTATTCACTGACGATAAATAGGTTGAATGCTTGTTAATTGGGATTTTAAACTGAACAGAGACATGGATTCGGTACATACATACAAACATAAGACTAGATGTGTATTGTGAGGAAATAACGAAAGTCTGAATCAATGAGCTTTCCATTATACCTTTGGTCCAATGGTAGTACGCCTCTTGAATTTCAAAACCTCATTTATACCCTATATATATATATATATAATTGATTTTAACTACTTATTACCATACTGATGGAGTCTGCTGACCAAGTAAGCTGTCTGTGCACTAACAATTTCAGACATATACAAAATTAAGACACCCAGAAACCGTAACACACATACTTGGCAAACTTATTTAAAGCGAGTAAATCAAAAAAACAGAAATTGCAAACGGTTCCCTGTCTGTTAATTTTTTTGGACCTGGGATATGTAGGTAAAGAAGTGGGGAGTTTTCCGCTCAAATTTGGGCAAAGTGGGCTGTTTTCGGTTGTAGCATGAGTAAAATGGGAATACTTGGGCTATTTTCGAAAACTGTTCGTTTAAAAAGTAGGTACATATAGAATTTCTGCACATGGGATAAATGGGTGAAAACGTGGGTCAAGTGGGACACTTAAATTTTGCCGGACATGGGCAAACGTGGAAAAAGTGACCAAAATTGGCAAAATCTGTTGCATCTATACCATCTTTTGCCCACCTGTTTTCTGTTCAAAATTACCCATTTAGGCCACGTTCCGGCCACATTACCCAGGTGCATCAACCGACTGGACACGTTTTGAACACACTACCCTGGTGCATTCTCTGACTGGGTTGGGCAAATATAAGTATAAAACTTGGACACTGTGATGGAGCATAACTCCATTATGGATAAAATTTTATTTTGATAAGATCACACTGTTGTACAGTAAATATTACTGTTCAATGCGCTGTGGTTTTATCAAAATAAACTTTTATCCATAATGGGTTGGGTAAATGGTATTGACATCAGTCATTATCTACTGCTTATATGTAAAAGAGACACATGAGTCTGTTTTGACCATTCCAGCAGTTACCTCCGTTACGCCTTTGCACGCCTCTGAATAACTTTACTGACAGCCAGTCCACGACGAGTCGACCGCGGTTACTAACAAACAGTAGACAATATTCAATCATTTGGTGGAGGGTAAACATACCATTTCCAATGGCATTTTTAAGAATTGCGACATCGTACCGATTTTTCCGATCTCTTATTTGCTAAAAAATAGAGGTTTGTGATCTAAGATTTATGCGTAGACAGTCATACCGCTCACCTGCTCTAAGTTTCACAGTCTCTGGTGTACGCGTGAAGTTGTCAAGAGCCAATAACCAATATAGTTTTCATGAACTAGAGTGGTTTCCGCGCTCGCTTCTTCGTTGTAAAGCAAGGATTCTTAATTCTGTGTAAGATGTCCCACCGCTAGACTGCCGTAGTTTAAACTGACCCCAAGGGGAGTGGTGTGGGGACTGGTTATATGTGGTTTGTAGTACGTGTTGTGTTAAGACTGTTTAGCTGCTGTTAATGGATCCTGATAATCAAGTTTATGAAAAATGTTGCGCTTCCAAAGTACCTACTGATTTTGCCTCTGAAGTTTCATTGACCTGACTATTATTCCTTTCAGTCCCGACTGGAAAACATTTCAATTTAACCCTGTTCTTAGCGGTATATTTCATCTAACTCCTTGACTATTGAAAGCGTTCGTTTCCTCTTAACACAATCTATTTTATATTACCTCTGGATTTCCAAGGGGCCCTTACTATTTATGGCCTGCTAGAGGGCCTGATGTGTGATGCCACTTACAGAATTCCCAGTAAGTGTAAAATGCACACCAATTTCCTTCTGCATGGCTGTTGAGCGATAAATTCTCGGTCGCTTCATTGTTAGAGGTCCTGGGCACTTATGTAATCTGATCTTTAGAAGCCGATGAAATTATTCAGCCTATTGAAAGCAGCTTTCGTGACCCGTATCCGAAGTCTCTTTACCACATATTAGCTCTGACTCTGCATAATTTTGGAAAAACAGAATCCTGTCCCTGATGCTGGTGAGGTAAATTTCTTCAGTGATTTTGGAATAACGAGCGCCTGTTTAGCTTTCTGGCAATAGCCAGTTTTTACGTCTCAATGCGTGATGCCTGTCTCTAGTTGAAACGAAGCCTAACAAATTATTAAGAGAGATCACCATCTTTAAATGTGGGCGTTGATAAAGCATATCCCCTGTTTGAAGTGGCGCCTTTGGCTTAACCTTGACGGCATTTGCGCGGTTTCGTTGATTCGAGTTGTGGCTAGTCGTCCAGCAAACGTAGTAGACGCTATTTCGCTGCTTATTTTGCTCTTGTTGGATGAATTTATATGAAAATTATTGTTCGATATTGTTCTTGAGCATTTGCTGATTGCTTGTGTGACAGGACGCTTAAATACATGGTTCATGCAGTGATTTTTGGCATACCGAGTAAGCTTCGCGTACATTTCAACGACTGTCATTCGATAAATTTCTTTGCAGATTGGCGGAAACTTGTACTCGATCTCAAATTTCCCTATCAGCTATTGTGCAGTACCTATTACTGCTGCAGGAACCAAAGAATATGGTTGATATCGAATTCCTGCATCCTCCCGCACTTCTGTGTGTTGTTTTGATAGAGGAAAGTCAATAGAATGCATAGATACAAGCGAAAATTAGTGTTCACAAATGGGCAGAAATTGCAATATGTTTTACGATCACTTATAACATTCACTGTTTTCTGCCGAAGTTTTTAAGTGAGTTAAATGCACACTGCAACATTTTAGTAATTTGGTGGATTTCAATACCATCCTCGTGATCAGGTACGTAAAGACATCTGACGTGTGCGTCACTTTTTCCTACTAGTGAGTTTGGTTTCATAAACTTCCGATTTTTGTCATTGTCCTGACGCCACATTCGCGCTTGTTCGAAGTTAATTCACCAAATTATTTTAAAACCACGTAGAAGTAGTGTCCGACATCTCTTAAAGCTATGGACGTAAGGTTTAGAAGTGGTTGCTATATCCATTTAGGGAAGGCTCATCGATTTTTGCAAGTAAGGGCTACGCATCATATTCCTAAATGCCTCCAGAAGCAACAGAATCTTCAGAAGTTATTAATGGGGTCCCAGCTCCTCTATTTCGAAACATATTATAGGGACAGGTCATAAAACTGGCGTTTGCACATTCTTTAAACCTATCTGTAAAACGTGTTTGGATTGCATTCTAAAGTTTGTGGGAACCGAAGTGTGATTAGGAAGTTTAAACCACTTTTGTGAATTCCAAGACTATTCGTCATCACACGAAACCTTTGTTAAACTTTGTTTTGAAACTAGTCAGGGTAGATGTACTAGTCCCTCAGATATTTGGTTTAGTAATCTTCATTGTTATTTTGACCTTCAATATGTGGTTTTAATTCCACCTAAATTTATTTTCCAAACTTTTAACTGTATTAATTTCATATGTATTCCTATAACAAGTCCATGCGTGACCAGATTGTCTAAAATGTGTTGCACAAATACAACACTACACGACTCGGACAAATTACGTCTTCTCATTACTTCGTCTAAATATCCACTTGTGTCAAAAATAGTGACTGATGTAATCGCACATTGATATAAACTTTCATTAATTTTTACTGTGCTGTCTCGTTAATATTATATTGGTAGTTATATTCATGTATGCACCCTGTGAACCCTTGTTTTCTTTTTTAGATAATCTGTAGTTCCAGTGACCTCGTGGGATTCATTGCTGAAGGAAGTGGTTTCCAGTACCGTTGATTTTGTATTTTGTGTCGAATCACTAATAAATGTATTCTCTATACCTCAAATAGACATTCTACTTGTTAATAGTCACTACTAACTTCATAGAATGTTGTGAGCTACAGAGTTATGGGGTTAGGGTCATGTGTTGTATTGAGTAGCGCGTTTAGAAAATACGTCCGCCCCTGAGGAATATTGTCGTCAATATGGAGTACATTCTCGTGATAAATCTGTTAGCAGTAATTATTATCAGTACCTATATTTCGTATGGATGGTACATAATGAAACGTACTAATTCAGTAGTCAAAGGTTAGAACTATCCGTTAAAATTGAAACAGGTGCTCATGTAAGGGAAAACTGATTAATCGGAATTTGAAACATCACGTAAGTGATAAAGTTTATAGCATCGTTTACATGCGAATAGTTAAGGTTATTTTTTTAGAAATGATGTTTACTCGTTGATGGTTTAAGGGATGTTGTGTTTGATAGGAAATAGATGGGACATTGTAACTGAAAAACAGTGTAACT